TATAAGGTGGAAAGTGGATCCTAGGGGTCAGATCCTTCACTCTACACAGATGTCGGTTTAAAGACCATATTTAAGCTGACCAAAGTCTATTAAGTTGCACCAAGATACTTGACAAGTATGTGGTCAATTGGATTTGCTGTGATTCTAGTTTCTTCGGCCATCTTTCACGTGAAAACATCCGTTATTTTTGAGTAGTGATTGAAAGCTTGTGAAGTTTTGGATTGTTAGCCTTCGTCGATTTCGAATTCCTATTTACAATATTGCTAACAATGTCAGAGGATATGTCGAACATCATCACAGTAGTTTTTTGGGTAGGACCCTTCACATCTATAACTTTCACTTTGCGGGTGAGGGAGTTTCTATGTATTGACTTGGGGTATTGTATATCTGAAGCCACTATTGTTCTAGCTGCTCTGCTGTGCGAGCTTTTTTGAAAGCTTCCGTTTTCCAAAAGTTGTGTCCTTCGAATCTCAATGGTTTAAAAGTTTCGCTATGCTTGTGTTTTCCACGGAAAGGGCCGTGTTACGATTCTTAAGTTGTAAGTCACCCATGGCGGATTTTTTAAAATATCCCGGGAATGTCAACCAAACGTATAGATGCAAATCATAACATTACCTACGGACAGCAAGGAACCATTTGATCCTGCAAGACTGTCCTTACATACCAGTTCTTGAGAACAATAGAAACTTAAATCCGCCATTTATTTTTTGATGAAATCATCATGTCCATCTTAAACTCATGTAAAGTTTTACCTCCACCACTACTGACAGCAACTCATTCCATTAGTCAATCATCTTCTTATAAAAATAAAACTGACTTAACTGGAGAATAGTCTGTCTTCTCCAAATCTTCAATTTGTGTCTTATGACCTTATTATCTTCAGGATATAAGGAAAAAGAAATCGGACGACTTTATCCTATCGATTCAAGGATAATTCTGTAAACATTTAAAAAAATCACCTCTTTCCCTTCTTTTCTAAACTTATTTTCTCTTGACGAAAGAAGGTAAAGAAGTGAAATCATCCCAATAGCCCTTCTCTGAATATTTTCCAGTAATTGAATATCCTTTCTTACATAAGGAAATGAAACCATGTGAAGCCTAACTGATGTTTTCTATAGAAAAATTATTACTTCTTGTGATTTGCAATCACTACAGAGATTGACTACGTTAAATCAAGACAGTTTTGGAGCCTCAACACATCGTTATAGTCCATGTAGCCCACGTTCCATCATGCTCTAGCTTACGATCGCGCAGCTTGACAGTAGTCCTGCGGCATAATTTCCATTGCAAAAGACTTCGTCGTAAAGTTATCATATCCAAAGCAAACTATTCATCCTTGTGGCTTTCCATTAACTATCTAGTGTATGAGGACGGTGGTTTCCAGCACACTTTTCAACTGTTCGGTCGCACAGAGATCCATAGGCGACTTGACCGGTATGTCTTCGTATGGAATAATTTGAAAAACTGTTTCATTATACAGCTGCTTGAGATGTGTGACTGGAAGTCTTATCTTGGTGAACCCACAACATGTTGGATTCGTTTCCAGATAGAATTCCTTCTTGATTATGCTGCGTACTGTTGCCTGGGTGACGTGGACAGCTTTTAAAACTGATCTTTGTGTTCGGGATTCTCATCTGTTAGAAGACGCCACACTTTGCTTACTACGTTGAGGTACGAATTGTTACAAGTCACTTTCTGGATGGTCCTGGTACTCCAAATTGATCCTCATGCCTCTGCTTTCCAATGCTGTTAAGTATAAGTGTATTCCCGTGTTATAAATTCTGAATCTCTTACCTGAACACATCTTTATGATTTAAGAGAATGAATATTTTGCGTCGAAAAAGACTGTTATATGCCCTTCCCAAAAGCGATAAATTTTCGAAGACATCATAGTATCTACGTAACGTCAAACTATGTAAAACGTAGTTCTGATACATTCCTTTCCATCGCGATTTTATATCGGCTGTGGTTGTCACGTTACTTGCTGATTTATATATTCAAAATTGTTTTAATATCCTTAACCCTCCGAATATCTATCTCTAAATACACTTTAAATTATGTATGCTTTACCACTAGCAACAAAGAACTGCTTCGATGGCTTGAGTGACATCCATACATTATGCCTAAATCCTTTTCTTCAATCACATTACTGAGTAGTTTCCTACTTATATTAAACGTATAATCAAAATTATGATAACCCAAATGGATAACCTTGAATATACTATAATTAAAGGTAATTTGCCAAATACTGGCCCAAATAACCAATTGATTCAATTTATTCCGTAATACTTCAACATCCTCAGTACAGCTAGAAAATACCCAAGGGTTTAATGTCGTCAGCAAACTTTACTAGTTTACTAATTATTTCCCAAACCAATATCGTTAATGTAAATACGAAACAGCAAGCATTGACCACTGAGGTACTCCATTAGTAAAAAGAGGTCCAGTTTGACTGAAGTTAGTGAAAACGAACCTTTTGCTTTCACCCATCTATCAATCCTACGATCCATTGATCTAGTTTTGTTCCCAAATCTTCTGATGTGATTGTTTCAGCTAATCTTTTAAGTATAACAAATCCACGCGCTTTCCCTTGTCCACTTAACAAGTTATGTCGACCGTGGGGCAAGATTTGCATCTGCGTAGACACACTATTGTATTACTTTATGCAAATCCTGCTTATAAAGTGCAAATAATCCTCTGTATATATCTTGGGAAATTTCTAAACATAACCACATTTATTTTAAATTATTTGTAAGAATTATTATGTTTTCAAAAACTCTTCACAAACGGGAGTTTGTGAAATTCTAATTTATACTACTCCTTGTTGACTATAGGCCCGGCATGGCCAGGTGGTTAGGGTGCTCACCTCTTAATCTGTGGGTCGCGGGTTCGAATCCCCGTCACACCAAACATGCTCGCCCATTCAGCCGTGGGGGCGTTATAATGTGACGGTCATTCCCACTATTCGTTGGTAAAAGAGTAGCCCAAGAGTTGGCGGTGGGTGGTGATGACTAGCTGCCTCTCTTCTAGTCTTACACTTCTAAATTAGGGACGGCTAGCGCAGATGGCCCTTGTGTAGCTTTGCGCGAAATCCATAACAAACAAACAAACTTGTTGACTATTCCAAGTTCTTAACATTTCTCAATATAATAGCTACTTTCAGAATGGTTTCAAAATAGTTTAGTAGTATTTATAATACGATATATATATATACAGTTTCATAATAAGAAGAAAAAGGAGCCTAAAAATAAATGCAATAATAGTTGACAGTTAATATGAATTGTTTATATTATTTTTCTAAAAGCTCAAATCTTGCTCTCCGAATTCCAAAAGATGAAAGACAAATTGAACAGTAAAATGTGACAAACGTGTAAATTCCTTAAGTTGATATTTACACACATGTGCGAGTGAACGCTGAAAAAAAATCGAGACTACATCTTATAAGCTTAGGTCAATCAATGGTTGCTTTAATCTCTTTAGGCTTACGATCCCCTTTTCTGCATCTTCTTCCAAATAGCTTATAATCAATGGAACATCTCTGCGCCCTTAGAGTTTGTTGATTCTTCTAAGAATGCTTTTTTTACGTTTATAAAACAAAACCCTGATCATATGAGATTAGGAAACATGTTAATCCCAAAACAGGATTTAGAGTCTGTGTGGTATAAGAGACAGCTCTATGTAGATTATTACATCTCATTAATCAGCACGAACAAACATACAGTGAAACGGCAGTAATTTGGAAGCAGTACGAAAGATGACAGACAACGAAATATGTGAACCACGCTTTATACGTGAAACAAATACCACAAAAGACTTTTTTTATCCTATTAGCTTGAACCATTTTATATACGCGTTTTATCAGTTAACGACACCAACACGCATGTAAAAACTTATTTTCACAAATCAAATTCAACGAAACGTTTGATTAACTTTGATAAACACGAAAAAGGTTTACTTATATAGACATGTGATAAATCGTTCCTTTTCTCTCTGGTTTTTAAGTGATTTTACTTTCTATTCCAGCAAAACATACTTTGTTGGTATCTTATATTAGTGAACTCAATATTTTATCAGATAAAGGAAACATTTTAAGTATGGAAAAGGGTAAAAATAGTAGATTTAGTCCGTCACCATTATGTTTACCGTAATTTATTGATAAGAAAACCTCCTCTTTCAAACAAGGTGATAAAATATAGATAGCATGCAGAGATAGTAGACCATCAGTACAAAATGGCTGAAAAACACGCAAAGTCCTGGAAGCAATTTTTATACACACATATATATATATTCAAAAAATAAAGAACTTTGGATTCAATGTGTAAAACTTAAGTTATCTCAAAATATTAAAATAAATTATTCCAGACTTATAAATACTCGATCGTAGCGTTACTTGGACTTGACTTGCTTCTTTTTAATTGTTCGTATATTATTCTAGAATTAGAGTTTCTTGTATACTTTAACTTAAGTTTTGTAGACTAGATTATAATAATAATACGTCTCGAATTATCTAAAATTAATATACCTTTGCTTGTCAACCGCATATTGTAGAATAATAAACAACTTTATAAATGAAACTTGTTCATTGTTTTTACAGACATTGACACTTGTTTTTAATTTAGTGCTACCTTCTATGAAGGACTACAACAGAGTTATATTTCTACTAGTTTCAGACAACCAATTTCGTAAAAATAGTTAACATATTTTTTTCTAAATAATTCTTATACAAATTAATAACTTATAATGCTAGGAGACAACGTTTCGACAAGGTTTTGTCATCATCAGGTACAACGTTGTAC